TTGTGAACTATGTCTCTGACAAAAGACTAATATCCAGAATATATAAGGAGCTTAAATAAATCAACATGAAATATAACAACCTCATTAAAAAATGTGCAAAGGACATAAACAGACACTCCTCAAAAGAAGACATACAATCACCAAACATATATTTAAAAAAAGGCCCAACATCAATAATTCTCAGCAATAATCATCAGAGAAATGCAAAATAAATCCACATTGAAATATCATCTCAAGAATGCCGAAAAAAGGGAACACTTATACACTGTTGGTGGAAATATAAATTAGTTCAGCCTTTATGGAAAACAGTATGGAGATATCTCAAAGAACTAAAAATAGAACTACCCTTCAACCCATCAATCCCACTACTGGGTATTTATTTATCCAATAGAAAATAAATTGTTTTATCAAAAAGACACCTGCACTTGTACGGTTACTGCAGCGCTATTCACAATAGCAAAATCATGAAATCAACCTAAATGTCCATCAACAGTGCATTGGATAAAGAAAATGTGGTAATTATACACCAAGGGATAAATAACGTGCAATCATAAAAAGATTACAATCATTCCCTTTGCAGCAACATGGATGCAGTTCAGAGCTATTTTCCTGAATGAATTTACATAAAAACAAAAAATCAAATACCACATTTTCACCCTTATATGTGGGAGCTAAATGGTGAGTATACATGGACATAAAGATGGAAATAGTAGTCACTGAGGACATCAATAGTGGGGAGAGGTGGGTGAGATTGAAAACTACCTATTGGGTACCATGTTGACTATTTTGGTGATGAGTTTATTAGAAGTCCAAACTTAGAACTTCTAATGAACTCATTACCAAAATAGTCAACATGGTACCCAATAGGTTTTTCTCAGCCAGTATACCCATGTAACAAAACTGCACATGTACCCCTGAGTTGAAAACAAAATTTTTAAAAATACAACATCTCTATGCTTAGACTGCACCATCTTATCTTCCTGCAGAATCTTTCACTGGGTTGTTTTACTAGTGTGATAATGAATTGTCATAAGAAATGGCTATATGAAAAATATGACTGCATTACTTTTAAATTTTTTTTGGTATGATGTATTTATTTTTCAACATGTTATGTTTTACAAACATTTTCTTCACACGCTTAGTAAGTAGTCATTTTTTTTTTAGTAACTGTTCTAACCTTTTTCTATTTTCCTTAATTGAGATACAGTTCTACTTCTCTTTTATTTCATTTCACAGATAAAATAGATTCTAACAGGTGTGAAAACTCTCAAAGTTCCTCTCATTGAACCACTAAGTTTTATGTATTTTCATTTGTCTTTTACGTTAAAGACTGACTTTTTTATAAGAGCCTTCTAACAATTCATTTTCCAACTCTTTATTTGGAACTCCTTTGATCGAATACTATCTCTTTTAAAATTGGTATCTTTCTAACCACTGTATTATTCAGCCTTTGAAGTATGTAAACCTTTTTATTAAAAAAGAAAAAAATCTCCTTCAAACCTGGCTTTTTCTGTTTTCTTCATTTACTTCCTACAGAAAAAAATGGGTCTTTATCTGTGGATTCACTTTCCTCACAACATAACTCTGTACTCCAATTAAGTCTGGCTACTGCCCCTATTGGTGTTCTGGAATTTCTATCCATACAAAAACCAATGTTTTTCCAAGAATTAACAAAACCAAAGTCTACTTTTAGTCTTTGGTATTGGTGTAGGTCTTAGATATAAGCAATAGAAACTGCCTCTTGCTGAGATAAATTGAAAAGAAATTTATGAGAAAAACTTTGAGTAGTTCACAGAGCCATCAAGAGTGCTGTGGAGAAAGGATGCGATAATGGAGAAGGAACAAAGGAAATTAACAGGACTGATGGCCAAATACTTTAGTTAAATGCTAAGAAACACTGGACCCTTCCACAGCCACTGAGTGTGAATTCTTAGATATCTCTATAAATTTCCATCCTCTGTTGAGACTCAAATTCCTGAGTGGAACATCCAATTGTCTGAGTCTGGGCCACTTGTCTTTTGAACCCTGCATGCTCTAGTTTCTCTAGTGGGGACATGGTCCTTTGAACTTCACATGAAGCAGAAATTTCCCCCAAATAAAAAGCATTTTAAGGATGTTGAGAAACAAAATAAAAATGTTTCTTCTGTGATCACTCTGTGGCCTTTGGTACCATTATTCAACTTTTTCTTGAAATATTTTCTGTACCTGATTTCTAGATAATGCTCCTGTTTTTCTACTCTTTGTGTCTCCCTATCACCAAGAGGTTAGGTATAAAGCCTTTATCATGGTGTTGAATGCCCTTTATGATACTGTTATTGATTTGAGGCATTATATGCCCCTTTCTTTTTCAGCTTCCCTTTCCTCTGCTCTTTATCAAGTACCCTTTTTCTCGACATAGTTAACTACGTTTAATTACCTCAGCATGCCCTTTAAGGAGACATTGGAAATGATTTTCTTCCTCTTTGTCTTTAAATGTATTCTTCCAGGTTCAGATTAATTTTGTGAAGCCCTCCAGGACCATTTCTGAGAAGAATTAATAACTCCCTTCTCTTCCTTTCCTTGGTACTTTAGCGTTTGACTTCTCTTTCTACTAAATTCCTCATGGGGAAACCATGCCATGTTTATATTTAGTCCAATGTTAGTTGAAAGAATTTTGAATCATCTTAAATCCTTTTTGGATTCCTCCTGGATATAAGTTTTATGGAAATTAAAAATCATATTCCTATGATTTTCCAAGTTTTCAGTTATTCAGAATATCATTGTTTCCACTTATTGTGCATAGCCAAAACACTCTTGAAGTATCTTTCTCCCAACAATCTGGATGAACTTCCATAAACAAAGCTGAAGGTGTGCTGAGGAGGGCACTATGGTGAATTGAGGAGAAGAGCCTCTTTCTCTTGTGCTCCTACGATTTTCTAGGACAGAATAAATTTTCTGCTGCCAACAGCCTAATGTAATAGCTGGCATAAAGTTTAGTAGTGCCTTTTCAAAACCAGCATAACAAAATTCTGGATGGGAAGTACTCTAGCAGCTGCTACAAATGCCCTTAAATTGCCACCCATGGATAACTGTCAGAGTTGTGCTGACGTGTGCTGGCCATGTTTTATCCCTTTCCAGACTACAGATGAACAGAACCTCCTACCATAATTTGGGGATTTTTTTTTATCACCTACATAATTTCTGTGTCTCAGGTAGGAAGCCTGAGTATCAAATTTAACTTAGCATCAAAATTAATGCTAAGTATTTGAATTTTATCCCATACTTAACCTGGTTCTTTATCTATCATCTATGTCCTGAACCCAGAAGAGATATTTTCTGATGTTTGTTAATTATTCTCTAGCAATAAATTGCTAAGTAATTTTGAAAGATGTAATGCACTACATGGAGTATGTAATGTTGATCTTTGGATGAGGAAATATGCATGGATAGGGAGATTAAGGTACCATCCATACAGGAAATGATGTGAAAACAAGCTGTAAGTCGGTGGGAATGATCTTTAAGAATTAAGCGGTTTTAAAACTTAGGCATTAACTTCAGGCTCTAAAGTAACAATACAGATATATCTAAATCTCTAGATGTTGTGCATTCCTGAAACGCCAATGATAAAGCATGTTTCTGTGTAATTCATATGTTTGTATTAAATTCCAGTTTTAGAAATATAGACCTAAACAGCATACATAAGCTCTACAGAAAGAAAAAGGAGAGAGATGGTAAGAAAAAAAGATGAAAGATAAGTATAGTAATATACCAAAACAAACAAAAAGGTTAAAGATGACAGGCTCCAATCAGCAAACGTAGAAGCATATATGACCTTTATTCACTCTATTTGACAATGGTTGAATATGGCAGTGGGAGCATGGATGTCTAGCATGGGCAGCCAGCAGAATTCTGGTTTTAGTTCTGGCGTTAGAATTCTCTACTGCTTAAATTTTGCAAATTCAAATTTTTAGAAAAGAATGTTTGATTTTATGGTATATTAGAGGTCTTCTAGTCTCACAGAAAATTCAGATGATAAGTATTTTTGTTTCCTAGGTCACAAATGGTTTCTAACAAGTTATAAGTAATAATGAGAAAACCATTGCTATTCTTTGATTGAGTCAAACCTTTGGGATACTATTTTGTAAAACTGAAGGTATTCTTGTTTTCATATTAATTTTGTTGATCTTAGTTTGTCAGAAAAATTCATGAAAGATTGAAGTGGGGGGAAGAAAAGACTATTGGGTATTCTGTCCAGTGTTTTTATTGTCTTTAAGCTATTTTACATCTCTATAAGGTTGATGATACAGGTAGAAATCCAAATAATTTATTGTCTGTGGAAGTGTAAATTACATCCCCCTGGAAATGCAGGTTATACTTGCTCTATGAGTATGAACCAGTTTTTCATCGATTAAGCAAATTTATTTCAGCATTCCTCATGTTCTACATATGTGTAGTTCTTTGATTCCCCTTTTGCCATTGGTAACATCGTATTGGTTCCCTCATTATTTAGTGAATTAAAAAAAATCTTTGGCACATGTATTCATTTTATATTGTGGTGTATGTTACCTCTTGAAAATGAACTTTGTTTTTTTATGTAATTTTACCAGAAATAGCTTAATATTGAGCACCAGATTGGTTCTCTTTCTCCTTGTCTCCCACAAGTATTCATTGGGTACATACTGTGTTCCAGATACTTTTAGACAGACTAGGTATATAAAATGTAACCCGAACCTGCCTGCAACATCTGCGTTTTAAAATTATGGTTTATAATGGCTCTCACATAAGCCAATAAAACTATACAGGGTAGTTAAAAAAATAAAAGAATAAAGCCTGTGGGTTTACGTAGACTTGGATTCAAATTCATATTCTACAGTGTGACTTTTGGCAAGTTACCTAACTTTTCTGAATTCCATTTTCCTTATTCACAAAATGGGTTATACTAAGACCAACCATCAAGTATTGTTGTGGAATAAGATAATGTTTTTTATGTGACTTGCTTTGTACTTAGAAGGTGCCTGGATCTTGGCAGATACTCAGTGAATGTTGATTCCTGTTCTGCATCCTTTGCTTTCAACCTTCTTTTTAAATTTGTTTTGGCCACTGCTCCCTATATGAGAAGTTATTATTGCTGTTTCTGTTTTACTGATTCTGGAACGACTAGTCCAATCTCAATAAACAAGAATCTGGGATATTCAAAGTCTCAATTCAGTAGCCGGCTCAATGAGCCATGCAGGCCTAAAACAAGAAAGAAGTTCACAATCAGGAAAACCTCCAAATGCTAAAAAAAACCACCCTTATGTTTATAGGAATATTATTGTAATTTTTAAAATGTGATTATAAAAATGACCCCATTGCAGGGTACATAATGTTAATCTACCTGAACAACTACAGATCAAAATTTGTGCAAGCCAAATTTGCCTAGTCAGATTCCTAAAAGCAAATGCACCCCTTTCTGTTCTTATGGGCCCCTCAGCAATTATTTACTCAGTTTGATGCTAAATCTTCTTTTTATTTTCCCTCTAGCTCTGCTTATCAGTTCTCTTTTATCAGCCAGACACATTTGTACCCTTCTCTTACATTCTTTTTGTGGGTAGTTTAAAATTTTAAGTTATTTACAATCCAAATGAATATTTAATAGAATATTCATTATGCACCTTCTGGTTGCCATTTTCCTATTATTGCAGTGACACTGAAGGATGGTGAAAATGCAAATGCCTATTCCTTGTGTGTTTAATCTAGACTCCTTGTGTTCTGATATATCTTATCATTTTGTTTGGTAATTAGACTTCTCTGATGATGTTGTAAAATACATATCAGCTGTGAAGGGAAATGTCATTATTTATCATTACATGGTGGGGAATATACTCATTTTTCATTGCCCTTACCTGGGAAGCAAGGACAAAGTGATATAATTTCAACTTGGAGGCCTGTGCTTGATGTGATTCTGGGATGGAACAAATAGCCATGAAATGACTCTGAGGATGTTCAATCATTCTCTTGCCAGAGCTTGCTGGCGTCATCTTAGTCTATGAAGTATAGCTTTCCAGGCTCTTAGCTTCCCCAGGAGCATGCACAATGAAGGGGAAGATTGTTCCCTATTACACATCATCTTATAAAGGGTGAGGACTGGGACCAAAAAGAAATGAATTAATGAAGGGGGAAATGCCCTTTGAAGCAAATGGGCATAGTTCTGAAATTATCGTATTTATGAAGCAAGGTTGTTACCTATATGAGTTGGAGAATAACTTGTGTAACTGCAGTCCTGAGAAAAGGAAAAAACAAGCCTTGTCTCAAAGATTTCATATCATAAGGAAAAAAAACCCAAAAAACTAAATGTTGGTGGGAGGTCATTTGTTTCTAAGAGAAGGCAGTCTCACTTTTTGTTGATTCATTTAGCTAATACCTAGTGAGTTCCACCTAAATGCCAGATATTCTCCTAGAAGTAAACATTATTCTGAAATTTGCTAAGTTTGGAGAAAAACTTTATTCTAAAATAACTAACTCATTAATGATATTATATGTATTATATATAATGATATATATATACTATATATAATATAGTATATAATGATATATATATACTATATATAATATAGTATATAATGATATATATCATATATCAAACTGATATTATATTTGGTATATATATGTATCATATATATATCATTAGTTATCTCATATATATATATTTTTTTTTCTCAGTATTTATCAGGGATTGGTTCCAGAACCCTACCCCCAGGGTATCCATGGATGCTCAAGTCTCTAATATAAAATGGTATAATATTTGAATATTATAATATATGCCATATATAATATGGCATATAACTTAAAACATCCTCCTATATACTTTAAATAATCTCGATATTGCTTATAAAACTTAATAAGATATAAATGCCATATAAATAGTTGTATGATTTAGGGAATAATGACAGGAATAGAAACTATGTTCAGTACAGAGAAAAACCATTATTTTTTCTGGATATTTTCTATCTGCGGTTAGTTGGATCCACAAATGTGAAACATCACATTCATAGTGTGCACCAAGTGTATATGTATATCATAATCCCTTTGGTTATTTGGTTCAATATTGTATTTTTCTCTAAGATTTAAAATATACTTATTTCTTCCTAAGGGAAAGTGATTAATTCTATCACCATGTAGGTAATATACCCTTGCTGCACAATATACCTTCATTGTTCATAAATGTATTATAAATATTATCCTCCATACAACAGAAGAAGCCCTAAAAAGCAGACAGTTTTACATAAACTGCTAAGTAATTACTACCTTCTTTAGAGATTTATAGAAATCTTCCAGAAAGGTATCCTTGCCTATCCAAGAATGAGAAAGGAACTGTGATGATCTGCCTCCGAAGAAAACTATGGATGGCCACAGGGAAGAGAAGTCATTAATTACCACTCTACTCAGGGCTGCAATGGTTTATTATGCTTGCTGATGATAAGTGCTTCATTAGTATTCTGTGTAATTTAAATGGGTGACTACATAACAACTGCCTGGAAGAATGTCTGGGACTTGATAAACAGGCAGTGATCTTGTCATGACTGGTAATTGCAGTCCCTTTATAATCTCAGTTTTATATACCCCAATCTTTGATTAGCACCTCTTCTCTTTACAGGTTACTGTATCTAATTCTCTACATTTGACCATCCTTCCACCCCACTGGAATCTGCAATGCTTTGATCTTATCGCCTTTTCACTGTCTCACCTTTTCATGGTGTCCTTTTCCTTTTCACTCAGCTTAATTGCTCTTTTCATTCATTATAGTCATCCCCTTCATATAGAGTTAATTATCTTGCCCTTCTCTCTGTCATACACTTTTGTGAAACTCTAACACTGATTAAATCTAGCATAGAGTTGTTTGGCCTTCTATAGATGAACAGAGCAGACAAAAAAATAAAAACAGCATGGCTGACTCTTTTCAGTTGAAGTTCATGATGCAAATTAGAGTGGACTGGACTTCTAATGCTGCTTGCCAATGACTGGATTTTCCCATCCAATCACTTTTCCAGTTAGCTATCTTATAGTATCTCTCTTTCCTCAAATCTCTAAATTTTCTTTATTCATCCTCAGTCTCAGCTGTTCACTTTCAGAAAACGACTTTTACAACTTTTCATGATCATATTTAACAACCTGCCACAGATTCTAATATATTTTACCTGCCACCTGTTGTTAGAAATGAACTGTTCCACTTTCATCTAAGAATGGCCTCCTAGTTGGTATGCAAGACTCCATAACTTCTTCCTACTCAAGGATGTGGTCCCAGCAATCACCTCCTTTTCCTGCACTGACAATTATTTTGTTTTTATTGGGTCATTCCCAACAGCATAAAAATACTCTGTTTTTGTCCCATTTTGCTCAAAACTCCCAACCTCACCTTTTCCTTCTTTTGCAGCACAACTTCCAGCAAGAGTTTTACATACTTCTAAATATAAAATGTCTTTTTACATATTTCTAAAATCTTTCTAAATGTATTTCTGCTAATTATATATTTAGCAAGAGTATATCTTTTTGTCCTTTCCTCCCAGTCTAATCTCGAACCCACTTAGTCAGGCTTTTGCCCCCAGTCACTTTACCAAAACCATGCTTGCCGTTATTCTCTCCTCAGCTTGTTGACCATTCTGTCTTCATTTTATGTGAACTGTCAGCCACATTTGATAGACTTGATCATTCTTCCTTCAAATACTTGGTTCACTTCTTGCTCACAACAGGACATTTTCCTGGTTTTTCCACTATGTCCCGGGCTACTTTTCAATTTCCTGTGCCAGTTTCTTTTCTTTTTCCTCTCTGACTTAAACTTGTGCATCTGGGCTCAGTACTTGATTTTTCTGGTTTACCTTTATCAGCAATTGGCAAACTAAGGCCCATGGTCCCAAGTCCAATTTGTGCCTGTTTTGATAAATAAAAGTTTTATTGAGTCACAGCCATGTCCATTCATTTGTGTGTTTTTTATGGTCCCTTTGATCTACATAGATATATTTCATTAGTTGCAACAGTCGTTAAAGCCTAAAATAGTTGCGATCTGGCCCTTTACAGAAAAAGCTTGCTGACATTTCTTCCACACCTACTTCCTCTGTGACTGAATTCAGTTTCATGATTTAAATACATGCTGTACATTGATATTTCTCCATTTGTATTCAGATGAGACATCTCCTCCAAACCTCAGACTTAGAAATCCAATTGCTGATGAGAAGTTCACTTGGACGTCTAATAGTCATCTCAGACTTAACATGTTAAAAAGGGAACATCTAATCTTCCTCTCCAAATTGGTTTCATCTACAGTATTCTCATCTCAGTTGAGAGCAATCCTATCTTTTCAGCTGCTTAGGTAAAAAACCTTGGAGTTATCTTTATCTTTCTGTTGTATCTTATATCCAATTTGTCTGGAAATCCTGATTGCTCTACCTTGAAAATATATACAGAATCTGACCTCTTCTCCCTTTCTGGCACAAGTCATCAAAATTTCTTTCCTAGATTACTGCAATTGTCTTCTAATTAGCTTTTATGATTCTATCCTTGCTGCATCTCCTATTTGTAGTATGGAAGAAAGGATATTCTCTTAAAATACAAGCTTAATGATGTCATTCCTTTGCTCATAATCCTACACTAGCCCTCCTCTCATTCGGAATAAGAACCAAACTCCTTGCGATGGCAGCTGAGTCCTACAAGGCCTTGACCCCATGCTACCTCTCCAAAGTCATGTCTTATTTATCCTCTTTTTGTCTACTCAACTTTAGCCACTCTGGGCTGCTTTCTCTTCCTTTAATATTTCAGGCATACTCTCTCCAGAGATATTCTCTAGCTTTTCCTCATACTAGGAAAGCTCTTCCCTTAAGTATATTTGCATGGGTTGTGGGTCAAATATCACTTTTTAAATCAGACCTAACTGACCACTTTATTTAAAATTGCACGTTTCCCTCCTCTCCAGCTTTCCTTATCATCCTTACCCTGATTTATTTTTATTCATAGCTCTTATTATCTTCTAATACACGGTGAATATAAAATTTAATCATTTTTTCCTTTTTTTTTGAGATGGAGTGTTGCTCCGCCGCCCAGGGTGGAGTACAATGGCATGATCTTGGCTCACTGCAACCTCTGTTTTCCAGGTTCAAGTGATTCTCATACCTCAGCCTCCCAAGAAGCTGAGATTACAGGAGCCCACCAGCACACCTGGTTAATTTTTGTATTATTATTTTAGTAGAGACAGGGTTTCACCATGTTGGCCAGGCTGGTCTTGAACTCAGGATCTCAGGTGATTCACCCACCTCAGCCTCCAAAAGTGCTGGGATTACAGGTGCTAATTATTTTTTCTATCTCACAACTCACCCCAGAACATGAGCTTCATGAAGAAAAGGAATTTTTTTTGTCTTAAAAATATTAAATCTTTCATATGACACATAAAAATTGTTATAATCTTTTTCACTGTTTCCACTTAATATATATTGCTAACATTTATCCATAAAAAATATTAAATCTTAAATACCTAGAATAGTGCTTGACACACAGTGGATGCTCAGTAAATACTTATTGTCTAGACGAATGATAGAGTTAGCTGTATTATAATTTACATTGCTCAAAGAGATATAAAAATATTTTTGGTATATATTAATAAGGCACAGTATTTGAATTTTTAAATGCATTTTCTGCAGTTTGGGGTAGATATTTCCAGGTTGTTTCACTTGAGGAGTGAGGATTAATGTATTGGCATTTGAAGACTTCAAATGTTTCTATCACTAAGTCTCTGTTATTGGTATCATAGGTTGCATTAATTTAGAGTTCTAAATAAAAGGTAATTTGGAAGAATAAGCATTGAACTAGTAACTAGATACTTGCACAGTTTCATTTTATCTTCTTATTTTCCACAGGGTGATCAAACATGATGTTTCTAAAACACAAAACTGCTTCTGTCTGAATGCTCCTTATTGCTATGGCCTGAATGTTTCTGTCCCCTCAAAGGTCATATGTTTAAATCCTCATCCCCAAGGTGATGGTTTTCAGAAGTGGGGCCATTGGGAAGTGATTAGATAATGGGGATGGAGCTTTCATGAATAAGATTACTGCCCTTATAAGAGATGCCCCAGCAGAGAAACTCTTCACCCCTGCTGCCATGTGAAGTTAGAGTAAGACGGTTGCTATGTGTGAGGAGGTAGCCTTCACTAGACACTGAATCTGCTGGCACCTTTATCTTGGACTTTCCAGCCTCCAGAACTATGAGAAATAAATTTCTGTTGTTTATAAGCCTATGGTACTCATATGTGGTATTTATAGCAGCCCAAACAGATTGAGATGCAGATACAAAGCCTTTTGGTTATCCCTTTTTGTTTTGAATATAAGAAAACATTCCTCAGGGTCTGATGTTTACTTGTATTTAATTTAGCACTTCACTTTTGTTTCAGCCATATCAATCCACTTGTAGTTCCTGGGCCACTCCACCATCTTTCATATATGCTTCTTATTTTTTCTGGAAATTCCAACTTGCTTCTCTTATCAGAATCATTTTATATGGATTATCTCAAATGTTATGCTTTCTCCTAGAGGCAGTCTTGGATCTTCTCTGTAGTTAGTCCTTGGTATTCATAACAGTTATAGTATTGTTTTATTTATTTTCTTTTCATATCAACTGTTCATTGAGATTTTGACTAATCAGTAATTTCTCCATCTTTTATGGTGTATATATATACATATATATATATATATATATATACACACACACATATATACACACACACACACAAACACATACTTACAGAAGAGTTTCAGAAATAGTACAGTTTCTATATACCTTTCACCCAACTTCGTCTTACGTTAACATCTTATATGACCACAGAACATTTACCAAGATTAAGAAATTAATCTTAGTAAAATATTAACTAAATCACATAGTTTATTTGGATTTCATCAATTGTTTTACTGAGGCCTTTTTTTTTCTTTCAGGGTCCAATTCAGTGTTTAGTTTTCATGTTTTCTTATTTGTTCAGTTGTGTCAGTTGCTCAGCCTTTTCTCGTCTTTTCATTACTTTGGTTTTTGTGAAGAGTATTGGTCTGTTATTTTGCAGAACATTTATCAATTAGAGTTTGTCTGATATTTTCTCATGATTAGCTTGAGGCATATGTTAGTGGAAAGGATCTCACAGAGGTGATGTGCGCTTCTCAGAGCATCTAACAGAAGTTTCACAGTGTTGATATATATCAGCCATGATGTTAACCTTGGTTAAGTGCCGTCTGCCAGGATTCTCCAAGCTTTACAATTTTTTCCCTTTGTGATTTCTAAATATTGTGGAATAGATATTTTGAAACTATGCAGATACCCTGTTTCTCCTTAAACTTTGCCCACTAATTTAGCCATAATTGGAATTTTCATAAAAAAGAATACCATGGTGTTCTCATGGTGATTTTATACTTTATTCATTCTTTCTACATTTCTTGACTGGAATTCTTCTGTAAGGGAGTGTTTTCCTTTATCTTTTATGTATCTATCCCAGTATGGACTTAGGGATTCTTCTAATTTATTGAGTTGGAATTCAATACTCTCATTATGTATTTTATTTTTCAAATTGTTCCAAATTTGTACATTGAGAGTTTTTTCAGTGTTAGCTCCCATATACTAACATATGACACAAAGCTACATTTACTTCTGTGTCTATCTCTCTGAATTACATGTTTTTAAAAGACAGTGAATCTGTATTGATGCTTCTGACTTCAATCATGCCCCACAGAGTTCACTATGACTCTATCTTTCTGTATTTTTCAATGTCTTTGGTTCAGTGATAAGAAACATAGCTTTCATTGTACATATTTACCTATTTGTTCATTCCTAGCATACAAATAAAGTAGTTTGAGAATTGGTAACTTGTACCCCTAATAAAAAAACAAATGTACAACTATAGGATGGTGTTTCAGCATAGTTAGTCTTTTCGCCTTTAGCTTTACAGTACCCTGTCAGAAGACTGTTTTCCAAAATTACTTAGTTCAGTAACCTTTCCCCCATCCCCTTTGTGCAGTTACATAATTAATCTGTAATACAATTAGATTCATTTGTCATGGTCTGCATTTCACCTTTCCCTTGGCATCCTACTTTCAAATACAGACATACCTCATTTTATTGCATTTTTCTTTATTGTGCTTTGCATTACATTTTTAATAAATTGAAGGTTTATGGCAACCTTGCATTAAGCAAGTTTATCAGTGCCATTTTTGCAATAGTATATACTCACTTTGTGTCTCTATGTCAGTCACATTTTGGTAATTCTCAAAATATTTCAAACTTTTTTTTTAATTGTTATAACTATTATGATGAACTGTGATCAGTAATCTTTTATGTTACCATTGTAATTGTTTGGGTGCACCATAAACTGCACCTGTATAAGACAGCAAACTTATTCCATAAATGCTGTCTGTTCTATTGGCTACACTGACCAACCGTTCCTCATCTCTTTGGACCTCCCTATTCCCTAAGACAGAACAATATCAAAATTAAGCCAATTAATAAACTACAACGGCTTCTAAGTGTTCAAGCGAAATGAGGAATTATATGTCTTTCATTTAAAATAGAAAACTAGGAATGATTAAAGTTAGTGAGAAAGATACGTCGAAAGTTACTATAGGCTGAAAGCTAGGCCACTTGCACTAAACAATTAGCCAAATTGTGAATGCAAAGTAAAAGTTTTTAAAGGAAACTAAAAGTGCTACTCTAGTAAACACATGAATGAGAAGAAAGCAAAACAGGCTTGTTGCTGATATGAAGAAAATTTGAGTGGTCTGGGTGGAAGATCAAACCAGCCACAACATACCTGTAAGCCAAAGCCAAATCCAGAGAAAGGTCCTAATTCTCTTCAGTCCTATAAAGGCTGAGAGAAATAAGGAAGCCATAGAAGAACAGTTTGAAGACAGCAGAGGTTGGTTTTTGAAGTTTAAGGAAAGAAGCCATCTCAATAACAAAAGTTTAAGGAAGAAGGAGCAGCAAGTTATCCAGAAAATTCAGCTGAGGTAATTGATGAAAGTGGCTATATGTAGATAAAAATGCCTTCTATGGGAGGAAACACCATCTAGGACTTACATAGCCTGGCGGAGAAGCCAACTCCTGGCTTCGAAGCTTCAAAGGGAAGGCTGACTCTCTTGTTAGGGGCTAACGCATCAGTGGCTTTAATGCTTATTTATGTTGGAGTCTGAAAATCCTATGGCCTTTAAGAGTTTTTTTTTTTTTTTTTTAATATTACTGCTCATTGACAGTGCACCTCATCACCCAAGATCTCTGATGGAGATGTATGAGAAGATTAATGTTTTCATGCCTGCTAACACAACATCCATTCTGCAGCCCAAAGGAGTAACTTTGACTTTCAAGTCCTTATTATTTAAGAAATACATTTTATACATTTGTAGCTTCCTTGGATAGTGATTTATCTGGTGGATCTGGGCAGATAAATTGAAAACCCCTGGAAAGGATTCACCATTCTAAATGCCATTAAGAACATTCATGATTATGGTAGAAGGTGAAACTATCAACATTAACAGGAGTTTGAAAAAAGTTGATTCCAACCCCTATGGGTGACTCTAAGGGGTCTAAAACCGCAGTTCAGGAAGTCACTGCTGATGTGATAAAAATAGCAAGAGAACTAAAATTAAAAGTGGAGCCCAAAGATGTGTCTGAATTGCTGCAATCTCATGCTAAAACTTGAATAAATGAGTTTCTTTCTGTGGTTGAGCAAAAAAAGTGTTTTCTTGAATTGGAATCTGCTACTCTTAAAAAACCTATGAATAGTGTTGAAATGATAACAAATAATTTAGAATGTGACATAAACTTAGTTCATAAAGCACTGGCAGGGTTTGAGAGGATTGATACTAATTCTGAAAAAAGTTCTACTGTGGGTAAAATCACATCAAATACAATCATATCAAACAGCATCACATGCGACAGTCAAATCTTTTGTGATGACATGAGTCAATCAATGCAGCAAGCTTTATCATCTTATTTTATGAAATTGCCACAGCCACTCCAAACTTTAGCAACTACTCTCCTACTCAGTCACTAACTATCAATATTGAGGCAAAGCCTTCCACCAGCAAAAAGATTATGACTTGTTGAAGGCTCAGATGATTGTTAGCATGTCTTAGCAATAAAATATTTTCAAATTAAGTTATGAATATTGTTTTTTAAAGACATACTGCTATTGCACATTTAATAGATTATAGTATAACCTAAACATAGCTTTTATATGCACTGGGAAACTAAAAAATGTGTTTGACTCACTTTATTGCAATATTTGCTTTATTAAGGTGGTCTGGAAACTGAATCTGCAATATTTCCATGGTATAACTTTAATTATGCTGCTTGATCTGTCCTTTTCATTTTTTTGTGCTTTGTTATACATTTTACTTTTGTATATACTACAAACACAAATGTAACAATTTTTGCTTTGCACATTCAGATATTTGAGATAAACGTAAAAAATTTATCTTCCTTTTGTTTCTAGTATTCTATTATTCTAGTATTCTAGATCCTATTTTCAGTCTGACATCATAATCATTCTGCTAAAGAACTTTTTTTAATCATTTCTTTTTTAAAAAAAATATTTTTTTTGAGATGGAGTTTCACTTTTGTTGCCCAGTCTAGGATGAAATGGTGCGATCTCAGCTCACTGCAATCTTCAACTCCTGGGTTCAAGCAATTCTCCTGCCTCAGCTTCCCGAGTAGCTACCATGCCCAGCTAATTTTGTACTTTTAGTAGAGATGGGGTTTCACCATGTTAGTCAGGCTGGTCTCGAAATGACCTCAGGTGATCCATCCCCCTCAGCCTCCCAAAGTGCTGGGATTACAGTTATGAGCCACTGAGACCGACATTAACTTTAAAAGTAATCTTCGTGGGATGAATTCTTCCAGTTTTTTATGTTTGTTTGTTTGAGAAAGTTTTTACTTTGCTTTCACTTCTCTAAACATTTACTTTCTGGATATAGAATTCTCAATTCACAGTTGTTTTTCTTTCAGAGGCTTATAGACGTCACTTTTTTGGTGTTCTGGTTTGCCTGTTTTCTGATGAGAATTTTATTGTAATACCTATTCTTAGTCTTCTTTGTATAATGTTTCTTCTTTCTCTAGCAGAGAAAGAATATCTCTTGGTCTCAGTTTTCAGCAGTTTGATTATGACATACCTATTTTTCGTTTTTTTGGATTTAATCCTGCTTGGTAGTCTCTGTTCTTCTCGAATTCATGGTTTGCTGTCTGCAATTTTTAATATTTTTCTTCAAACTTTGTTTCTGCCCCATTCTATTTCTCTGGTCTCTGTCAATCCATCTGTACATTCTTTGCTTCTTTCTTCAGCTGTGTTGAGTCAACTGATAAGCTCATTGAAGGTAGCTTTTATCTTTTTTCCTGTTTTTTTTTCTTTTGTTTGTTTTCTTCAATTATTTCCACTTAATTCTTTCTTGTAGTCTTCATCTGTTTGATGAAATCTCCCATCAGCTCTTGTATGTGGCCAACTATTTTATTAGAATCTTGAACATATTAATCTTAGATCCTTTAACGTCTGTGTCATAGCTAAATCTGATACTGACAATTGTTTTGTCCCTCAGGAATGCTTTTTCTTGCCTTTTCCTATGCCTCACATTTTTTTGATAAAAGCCAAATATCTCATGTTGGAGAGTACAGATTGAGATAAATAATTTTTATGCCTTAATATGGGCACACCCTTTTTACCTGTAGGTCTTCAGTGTGGGGTTTTGATTTAATATAATCAGGATTCTGTCTAGGTTTGAGGTTTAATGTTTTTATGTTTTCCCAGAGGGCACTGTAGACTTTAAAATACTCTGGTGACAGCTTTGTGTTTAAAGTCATGTTGATTAACCACAGCAATGTCTGTTAGTTCATAAGCTGTAAGGTTCACCTTTATGTTGTGCCTCGGAAAGTGTTTCTTTGCCTGCTCTTTTTCTCTCCTGCACCTCTCCCAGCAGTATTCTGCTTTTGCTATTTTGGATTTGCTGGGCTGTGGGGGCAATATGGAGAGCATTCTCTATTCAAATTAAGTTTTATTCTTAGTCAGGCACTGTGTCCTTGATTCTTGGAACTCTGAACTAAGATCTGCAGATTGGGCTGATATAACAGGAACTCCAGAGAGCCTTCAGTTCTATTGTCCTTTAGGAGTAGATTATTTTTCCCTTCTGTTCTTTCCTCCAGCTGCAATCAGTTTTACTGTTATCCTGAGGGGGGCAGTGTTTGCTGCCCTGCTTCTCACAGACAGACAGAGGCTTGTTTCATAAAGGAATTAGGAAAGAGGGGTCTTTCCTAATTAGGCAGGGTTTCTTACCTCTTTAACATGGCTGTTCTTCCTCTCTCCCAGGTCTGAAACACAAGAGACTTTTTAAGTGAGCTTTCTACCTATTCTATGACTACCCCATGAAATTCATTGGGAAGGGGCTTGTGAGAGAGTTCAGACTCTTTCCGTTTCTGAAGTGTTTACAAGCTTTAAACTTTCCACAGTCTGCACAGCCTTTCACATACAAATTAATTATTTTTGGTAAACGATTTCTATAGACATCTGATTGCATTTATCCCAGGTATTTGACTGCTCACATTTCCTCTCTTTCTGCAAGTGCCTGTATCTTCACAGATTTTGGGTCAGTTGGTTGTTCTGAAACGTTATCTCTTTTTGGATTGGAAAAATGTCATACATTCCAAGTTAATTCAGTCTTATTTCATTATTATAAATAATGAGAGTAACCCTCTCTACAGTTCTCCATATCACAGAGCAAAAGCCAGAATTCTCTTTATAATTTATTTTTATATTGCTAGTTCTTTGCAAAGTAATTCATACATATCAAGCATTCAATAATTAAAACATTTAATGCATGCAATATCCATGTATGCATGCCCAAGTTTCTCCACAATTGACAGGCATTATCAGAAACACTATACAGCAAAAGAATGGGTTAGCGTATCATGACGCTGTATATCACTTCCATGTTAAGACTCTGTTACTAAATTCTGGTTTTCCTGTTCTACAGCTTTTCTACCATCTACAGAAAGATCTTGGATTAAATTTAAGAATATAATGTGCTTTTAAGCTTTGTGATAAATAAACAGTGATTTTTTTTTGACAAACAAAACAAAATATATGTATTTTTAGAGATGGAGTCTTGCTATTTTGCCCAGGCTGGTTTCAAACTCCTAGTATCAAGAGATTCTCCCACCTTAGCCTCACAAAGTGCTGGAGTTATATACATGTGCCACCATGCCTGCCCAAAGTGTATTTTTTTCTTGTGTAT